CCCACCCCTCTGGAAGTTCCAATTAAGCTTGATACCTTTCTTTAATAAATGTGTTGGTCTTAGAGAAACCCCAACCCCCAAGGAAATTCCAATCCCTTCTGTGGGGGGAGTATAGATATTTTCTGAAACTGCACAATAGCTATATATAAATGCAATGAAATGAAAAATTTGATCTACTTCAAATTTAATTCTCAACCCAATTGCTTCTTAGTTTTAGGAATTTGTGTTCGTCTGACTAATACATGTGTGCAACTGAAACCAAAGCAAGGTTTGCTAGCATCACAGACCAGTGCGCTTAACTTATTAAACTCAAGAATGAACAGTAGTCAACCATACACATTTGAAACCCTTGCTGTATCTAAGCCACAAGAACATGTAGTTCAGGTGGAGCTTAACAGGCCAGAAAAGAGAAATGCAATGAACAAGACATTTTGGAGGTAAGAAATTAGCTTGTGTATTTCTAACTACAAGCTTTAGCCTGAAGGACATTAAATAATTGCGTGTAAGGGTTTATTTAAATAGTGGATTGAAGTACACCTTGTCACTTGGTATACAGGGAAATGGTTGAATGCTTTCAACAGATTAGTGAAGATGCTGACTGCAGAGCTGTGGTGTTGACTGGAGCAGGAAAAATCTTCACAGCAGGTCAGCKCTCTCCTTTGCGTCATTTTATGTTACATCACTTTAAATCCAAAAGGCATCAACATGAACCTTATCCTCACCTTATGAGATTTAGAATTCACAAAAAGCTTAAAATGGGGAGTTTAAAATTTTGTAGGAAAAAAAAAAGTGATACATACATGTAGACAGAAGATTCATCAATCTACAGTGCCATGAAATTTTCTTTCCTAAAGTAAATTTTCATACATCCAGTTCTCATGAATCTAAACAATAGGGCATTTATACGAGAAAAATAAGCCACAGATTACACAAGCCACGGCTTATGTAAGATGCGAACTAGACCATTTTATACAAGCATGGCTTATTCATGACTAATGCCTCGCTTTTGTGTTGGTTGTCATAGCAATCATGGAATTGTGAGAGCTGTCGCACAAGCGTAGGAAAAACTTGCGCTTGCACAGTGTAAGTTCACTTCTTACGTAAGCTGCAAACAAGCTGTGAAACCATTTATACAAGTGGTTTCACGTCTTATATAAGTCGCGGCTTATTTAAGCTGAGCTCAAAACCCTCCTCTTACACAAACTGCGACTTGTGTAAGACGTGAACTGGTTAAAATGTATCATTTATATAGGTAAGTTTGGCCTTACGTAAGCCACAGTTTGTGTAAGCCGCAGCTTAATGTCCTCACATAAATGGCCCTATTGACTCACAAAATTAACAATAAATTTATATAAAATCCTTACAAAATAAACGCGTGTGGACAGGTTACAAGTCCGGATAAATTACTTTGAGTAGTCTTGATATACCAACAAAATATCAGAATTAACATTGAAAGGAATGTAAGAGAGTGTGTAAGGGGAATTTATAATTTAATCTTGGGACTTAATAGGCCTGGATCTCATGGACATGGGAAGTGATCTGATGAATACTAGTCAAGAGCCTTCCAGAAGAGCTCACATGTTAAGAAAGTTTATCCTGAAGCTTCAAGAGTCTTTTCTTGTGATTGAGAAATGTCCACAGCCTGTTATCGCAGCCATTCACTCAGGGTGTGTTGGCGGGGGAGTAGATATGGTGTGTAATTGCGACATTCGCCTTTGTTCGGCAGATG